GGGGGATTTTTCACTTTCCTTTCTTCGTCACTACACCCCTTCCTCTTGAAAGTCTTGTTGCACCCCTCCCCTCCCTGTCACTACCCTCGGCAATCTGCTACCCCATCCTCCGCTCTCACCAATGGGCACTAAGCTAAGACTGCCAAGGCTCCTGGGGTGGAGGGGGGGGGGGTCGGCAGGGGGTACCGAGCAGATTTTTGTAAACAACTACTACCTGAACCCCTGGGGGCAGAAGGCCCTCGCTCCCCGCCTCTGGAACCGGCAGTGGAAATATCGCAAGAAGCCTGTACTTCAGAGGGAATCCAGATTTCTTGAAAAATTCCTCTTTTTTCGATCACTGATCATTTGGAGGTTCTGTTTCTCACAGATTCCCCGTTCTTCTTCGCCTTGAGCTCCTCAGGCGGCCCCTTCCACCCGCGTTCTCTGTGTTCTTTCAGCTTGGCGGCTCCGATCGGCTTCACACAGTGTGGCTCCTGTGGGGTTTCCCGGTTGCTCTGGCCTGCCGTTCGTTCGTTCGCTTCGGTCTTTTTGCGCGATAAAAGCAGTGTACTGATGAAGAAGTATTGTGTCTTGTTGCAGGACGTACCGCTACGTTAGGTGATGGCCAAAACATACGACTACTTGTTCAAGGTAACAATTCATAGCAGTGAAATGATAGTGTGTGTGTATTGTAGTTGCACTATAAAAATTCGTGTTCCCCTGTAACCTTACAATTCAACTTCGCTCCTCTCACTAATCCTTAACACTTCGGCCTTCCTCCCTCCATTCACTAATTTCTAACAGTTCCACCAAATTCTAAATAATTCTACATTACCTACCTTCTCACACTCATTAACTACCTTACCTTCCTTTTCCCTGCATTGAGTTTCCCTATATAAATCCCTTCTGAAAAACCTGGTTCTTAGTTTTCGGAATCCACACGCGCCCACCTCCCTCCACTCACTAATTTCTAACAGTTCCACCAAATTCTATGTTACCTACCTTCTCACTCATTAACAACTTTGCCCTCCTTTTCCTTCCATTAAATTTTCTTATATATACCCCTTCTGAAAACCCAGGTTTTTAGTTTTTCAAATCAATACACGCCATTGGTCCGCTACATTCTGCCTCAGCTAACGTTGCTAACTGGTCGCCTGAACACGACCAGCGTCCTTCTTCTGCTGAACAGCTTGTGCGACGCCCCGGCTCGTCGTTTTGTTTGACGCGAAGCTTTTATTGGAAAATAAAGTGCTGGCATTCTTCCCTGTCTTCCGCTGCTGCTGCATTCAAGGACCACGTGAGGACCTAACACCCCTCCACCGAAGGGTCTTCGCTATTTCAGATTCCCACTTTTTTCTAGCTCAAAAAAGCACTTGATTTGCGAATACGGTGTTTTAAGTCTCTGTTACTGGGTCTTTGGTCGAAGCAGAATTGGGTTTGCTGCATCGTAAAATACCACCTTACTGCTGCTTGCATTTAAACGATGAAAGACAGTTTGCACCGTAAAATATCACCTTACACATGATGCCTGAGTACAATCCTTCTGGTCTGTTATTTCCTATGAACGAAGTGGTTTTAATCGATTCGTTTGGGGGAGAGGGGGGGAGGGGCTGGGCGAGGGGTGAGGAGGTTTAGAGGGGGACACTTTTCAACGGGGGGTAAGGTCACCTTAATCGCAT